GTGACTAAGTGGCTACTAAAAAAGACTGGACATACCCTGTTTGCAATACCTTAGGTTGTCTACTATTGCAAATGGTATGCCATCATAGGGGTTGAGCACCATAAGTCCTCGCAACGTAACCAATCTGGCGAGAAGTGAAAAAAATGAAACACGGCGCTTATATTTGTGGCTGTAACTTTTGAAAACACCATAAAACCTGTACATGAGGGGGTACTGTTGTACTCGGGAGACTTCACTGAACACAAATATTTGTGTTTCAAAACAGTAAAAGTATCATAACTTAATATTGTCCGTTTAATGCTGTTTGTGCGTGAAAAATGCAAAAAACGTCACTTTTACTGGCGATATCATCGTTGTAATACATTTTACTGTTTTGAAACACTAATATTTGTGTTCAGCGAAATCTCCCGAGTAGAACAGTACCCCCATGTACAGGTTTTATGGTGTCTCGGAAAGTTATAGGGTTAAATATAGTGCTAGCAAATTAAATTCCCTTTACTTTCGGCATGGGTTGTCATGCAGGTCCTGCTAATTGTAATTAATTAAGATACCTAATTATGTAAAAATATTACATAAATATATATGTAGAATCAATATATGTATATATATACGTATGTGTATATATATGTATATATCTATATAATTTTTTTTAAATATTTTTATTTATATATAGGTATATATATAGTGATATATACGTATATATTTATGTGTATAAATATATATATTATTTCGTTCTATGTGTATTTTGATATATATATATATATATTAATTTCACAATACAGTTAGAACGAAATAACACACATCTATATATTTTTTAATTATTTATTTTTAATTATTTTTGTAATTTTATTTTTTAACGTATTTACATTTTAATTTTTTTTATAATATATATAAATATATATATAACAATAATTATATATATATTTAATCAGTATCAGTGTACGTGTAATTTGATATTAATATATATATATAATTATATATATATTAATAGTAAAATACACCTAGACGGTGTACATGTGTGTATGTATATGTGTATATATATACTTTGATCATATATATATAATATATATATATGATCTAAGTATATATTATTAATTTTTTTACACTATTTATTTATTTCATTTTTATTTTCAGCCAGCAGGGGGACCACCTGTCATTACAGGCAGCCCCCCTGCTGGCAATACAGAAGCCAGCTATCCCCGGCCATGTGATTGTGGGGTCCTCGCTAGGACCCCACTCTCACACGGCCGGGGGGCTTCCTGGAGGACGGTCGTGCCGCGGGGGGCTCCCTGGGAGTCCCCCCCACCGCGATCGCCGGCGTGGGACCGCCGGCGACCGGGTAAGTACAGAAAGACCGGAGGGCGTACAATTACGCCCGGCGGCGTTTAGAGCCGCCTATTAGAGGACGTAATAGTACGCCCTCCGGTCTTAAGGGGTTAAGCCGCAGTCTTCAAATATAAAATACATATAATACTATTTTGAACATTAATTCTTTTTGGTCAATGTTTTTACTGAGAATGAGAATTACCCCCCATGATGACATACCATTTGCAAAAGAAGACAACCCAAGGCCTTGTAAATGGGGTATGTTCAGTCTTTAGTAGTCTTTTAGTCACAATCACAGGCCAAAGTTAGCATTCATAATTGTTTTTTTTGCATTTTTAACACACAAACAAAGATACATGCTAACTTTGGCAAGTGTTTGTGACTAAGTGGCTATGAAAATAAACTGAACATACCCCCTATTGAATACCCTGGGTTGTCTACTTTAAAAAAATATGTACCTGTGAGGTGTGATTCAGAGATTTATGACAGATAACAGTGTCACAATGTCAATGATACATTTTAAAAATATATATTTTGAAACAGCAATATCCTACTTGTACTTATAGCAAAAAAGCTAAGAAAATGTAAACATTGGGTAGTTCTAAACTCAGGGGAAAATTTCAGAAACTATTTTAAATATTTCATCATATTTTATAATTTTGTTTATAGTAAATTATAGGATATGATGAAAATAATGGTATCTTTATAAAGACCATTTAATGGTGAGATAAACAGTATACAATATGTGTGGGTACAGTAAATGAGTAAGAGGAATATTACAGCTAAACACAAACACTGCAGAAATGTAAAAACAGCCCTGGTCCCAAACGGTAAGAAAATTGAAAAACGGTCAGGTTACTAAAGGGGTTAAATAACTGTGTTTCTCTACTCTTTAGGGTTTTCCATCCACCCCTGCAAGAAGCCTATTTAATTTTACTCGGCTCAACCAGTGGCATACTAAGGGAGGGTGGGGGGGCGGTTCGCCACGGGTGCCACTCACTACGGGTGTGCAATGACAAGGGCGGCCTTAGCATGTGTGAGCTGTGCGACACACAGGGACAGGCAGCCGCAGAACTTTTAAAACGCTGCATCTAAAATAAACGGGTGGAGCTAATTGGTAGCAGGTTGGAGCCAAACCAGCAGCTGGGGTGGAGCTAAACACAACCTTCACCCACTGCTGTTACTGCTGCACATCGAGGGGAAGCAGGAAGGGGTCCCTGCTTCACCAACAACTACACAGCATGGACTGAATCCACTCCTCCTCCAGCCCAAGCTGACTGTAAGTAAGAGAGAGAGAGAGTGTGTGTGTGTGTGCTGACTGTGTGCCTGTGACTGTGTGTATGGGACTGTCTGCCTGTAACTGTGTGTGTGTGTGTGTGTCTGTGACTGCCTGTAACTGTGTGTGTCTGTGTGTGTGTGTGATTGTCTGCCAGTGACTGTGTATGTGTGACTGCCTGCCTGTAACTGTGTGTGTGACTGTCTGCCCGTTACTCTGTGTATGAGTGCCTGTCTTTGACTGTCTGTGTGTGACAGTGTGCCTGTGTGTGTGTGTATGTGTGTGTGTGTGAGACTTTCTGCATGTAACTATGTATGTGTGTGTTACTGTCTGCATGTGATTTATGGATGCTGCCTGTGACTGTGTGTGTGTGTGACTATCTGCCTGTAATTGTATGTGTGACTGTCTGTAACTGTTTGTGTGACTGTCTACCTTTAAATGTGTGTGACTGTCTGCCTGTAACTGTGTGTGTGACTGTGTGCAAATGACTATGTCTCTGGGACTGGACTCTGAAGACTGTTGCTAATATTGTGTAAAAAAATGAATTCTATTTTAAGAGGCTGAGCAGGGGCTTTAGAGGGAGTGGCAGGTTTTTTGGGGAAGGGGGGGTGCAGGAATTTTATAGAAGGGGTGGAGGGGTTTGTAGAAGTGAACAGGGATTTTGTTAAGGGGGCTGAGCAGGGGATTTGTGGAAGGGGGGTGCAAGGGTTTTGTAGAACAGGGGCAGGACATGCACTTTGTAGAACGGCAGGCAAGAGAGGAGTTTTGTAGAAGGAGGCAGGACAGGGTTTTATCAAAAATTACACATTTGTGCAATTTTTAAAAATGAATACATAAAACATTAAAAATATTGTGGGTGTTCTTTTACATTTTAAAGTGGGAGGGTGGGGGAGAGGGGGTGCCAAACACAGGATCTGCCCCAGGTGCCAAATGCTCTAGGTACGCCCCTGGGCTCAACCCACCCTCCCGGTCCCCTGTACCGATATATCATGCTCTTCTAACTGTTTGGAACCAGAGACAATCACCTCCTTGCAGTCAACACACACATGCACATGCACATCCTGAGTCCGCCCTCTGGGAATATCACCGCAGTCAATATTGCCACTGTGGTGCTACGAATATAGAGCCTGGCATGGCTCTACACTTGTGAGTTTAACTTTCACCATTTGCTCACTATTTTTTTATATTATACAGATTACACTGTGTGGTTGTATTTGTTTTTTTTGTATATTCCAAGAGCTGTACTATTTTCCTCTTGTGGATATCCATTGTGAAGTATAACTGGGTGGTGTATAGGTTTGGTAGTGTTTGACATCATAACCTTTAGATTGTAAGCTCACAGGCAGGGCCCCTTCACCAGTTGTATCGGTCTGATCTTATTGTATTGTCTTTTTCCCAATTGTACAGTGTTGCGGAATATGTTTGGCACTTTATAAATACCAGTAATAATAATAATAATGATAATAATAATATTTTTTTTAAAACGTTAGACTAAAAAAAGTAACATTTCGTCCCTTCTCTTCCTACCAAGTTCTTTAAATGGAAATTGAATGACATGTAGTGATGTCGCGAACATAAAATTTTCAGTTCGCGAACGGCGAACGCGAACTTCCACAAATGTTCCCGAACCGCCATAGACTTTTATAGGCAGTCGAATTTAAAAACCCACAGGGACTCTTTCTGGCCACAATAGTGATGGAAAAGTTGTTTCAAGGGGACTAACACCTGGACTGTGGCATGCCAGAGGGGGAACCATGGCAAAACTCCCATGGAAAATTACATAGTTGATGCAGAGTCTGGTTTTAATCCATAAAGGGCATAAATCACCTAACATTCCTAGATTGTTTGGAACGTGCTTTAAAACATCAGCTATGATGTTGTATCGATCAGGTAGTGTAAGGGTTACGCCCGCTTCACAGTGACAGACCAAACTCCCCCTTTAACGCACCGCAAACAACCGCAAACAGTCCATTTGCAGAACCGCAAACTCCCCATTTGCACCAGGTTGGATACCAAGCTAGCCATGTCCCGTTCCTTGTCCTCACTGATGTCATTAAAGGTCTCTTCCTCCACCCAGCCACGTACAACACCAAGGGTCCCCAAAAGGTGACAACAAGCCCCCTGGGACGCCTGCTGTGTTTGGTCTTCCACCTCCTCAAAGCCACCATCCTCCTCTGACTCCTCTTCCTCAGACTCCTCTCTCTGCGTTGCCTCTCTCTGCATTATTATAAGGTGTGTTAAGTAGTACTATTCCTATCAGTTTAATCCCTGTTACATCCCCAATCAGGGGACGTGTATATGGCATCGATTTTAGGAACCGGGAGATGGAAAAAGATGCTTGGTCGGTCCTCCTACTACAAATTTGGGGCACTGTGCGTGCAATCTAATGTGCCACCAGATAGGAGTGGTGTGTTAAGTAGTACTATTCTTATCAGTTTAATCCCTGATACATCCCCTATCAGGGGACGTGTATATGGCATCGATTTTAGGAACCGGGAGATGGACAAAGATGCTTGGTCGGTCATCCTTCTTCAAATTTGGGGCACTGCGCGTGCAATCTAATGTGCCACCAGATAGGAGTGGTGTGTTAAGTAGTACTATTCTTATCAGTTTAATCCCAATGTCATGACTACTAGTGTGGTCCAGCATGCAGAAACTATGTAAACATATACATAGGCAAGAAAAGGAAAATAAAAGGACAGAGCATAAACCGGACCATAGAATGGCTGGACTAATACGCTAGAGACAGAGAATGGTCAAAGGGAAAGCCGAGGTCAAGGAAGCCAGAAAATACACAATACCGTTTACATAAGCCAAGTCAGGGAAACCAGAATTCAGAATAACCAGGGAAAAGCCAAGATCAGGATACCAGGAAATCAGATTCACAATGATAAAGCACTCTCAGGAAACCAGGAACAGGAAACCACGACAGGGCAAGGTACTGGGGTGAGCTAGGGATTTAAATATCACGCGGCTGGCCGGCAGCCGCTACACCCTGTTACGTCCCCCTCATCAGGCCCTTTTTAGTCAAATGTATCGCACACTGTCAGTCCCTTCGGGATCCATCCCTCATTCATCTTAATAAAGGTGAGGTAATCTAGACTTTTTTGACCTAGGCGACTTCTCTTCTCAGTGACAGTGCACTGAAGGTCCTTTCTGACAGGACACTCGAAGCGGGGCAGGCCAGAAGTTCTATCACAAATTGGGATAGCTCAGGCCACAGTCAAGCCTGCACACCCAGTAGTCAAGGGGTTCATCGCTCCTCAGAATGTCGATATCTGTAGTCTGCTACCTGTCGGTCGGTCGAGTCGTTCTCTGGGGGTGGACCCCGAAGGGCTGTGGCGATGCGTAGGACTTAAAAAGCTCTGTATGTCCTCCATCAACAACACGTCTGTAAAGCGTCCTCTCTTGCCGGCGTGGTCGTGGGAGGAGGAGGATTACGTTCACCTCTTCCCCTGTTGTGCTGTGACATCACCCTTATACGCTGTGTAAAGCATACTTTTTAATTGATTTTGGAACTGCTGCATCCTTTCCGGCTTGCCGTAATTCGGTAGCATTTCAGGCACTTTCTGCTTATACCGGGGGTCTAGTAGCGTGGACACCCAGTACAGGTCGTTCCCCTTCAGCCTTTTTATACGAGGGTCCCTCAACAGGCACGACAGCATGAAAGACCCCATTTGCACAAGGTTGGATGCCGAGCTACTCATGTCCTGTTCCTCGTCCTCAGTGATCTCACTGAAGGTATGTTCTTCCCCCCAGCCACGTACAACACCACGGGTACCAGATAGGTGACAACGAGCACCCTGGGATGCCTCTTGTGGTTGGTCTTCCTCCTCCTCCTCAAAGCCACATTCCTCCTCTGACTCCTCTTCCTCACAATCCTCTTCCAGCGTTGCCGCAGGTCCAGCAAGCGATGCTGATAAGGCTGTTTCTGGTGGTGATGGTGACCACAACTCTTCCTCTTCATGCTCATCTATGGCCTGATCCAGCACTCTTTGCAGGGCACGCTCCAGGAAGAAAACAAATGGTATGATGTCGCTGATGGTGCCTTCGGTGCGACTGACTAGGTGTGTCACCTCCTCAAAAGGACACATGAGCCTACAGGCATTGCGCATGAGCGTCCAGTAACGTGGCAAAAAAATTCCCAGCTCCGCAGAGGCTGTCCTAGCACCCCGGTCATACAAATACTCGTTAACGTTTTTTTCTTGTTGGAGCAGGCGGTCGAACATTAGGAGTGTTGAATTCCAACATGTCGGGCTGTCGCAAATCAAGCGCCTCAATGGCATGTTTTCTCGCCGCTGGATATCTGAAAAGTGCGCCATGGGCGTGTAGGAATGCCTGAAATGGCCACACACCTTCCTGGCCTGCTTCAGGACGTCCTGTAAGCCTGGGTACTTATGCACAAAGCGTTGTACGATCAGATTACACACATGTGCCATGCACGGCACATGTGTCAACTTGCCCAAATGCAATGCCGCCAACAAATTTCTTCCATTGTCACAAACCACTTTGCTGATCTCCAGTTGGTGCGGAGTCAGCCACTGATCCACCTGTGCGTTCAGGGTGGACAGGAGTGCTGGTCCGGTGTGACTCTCTGCTTTCAGGCAAGTCAACCCCAAGACGGCGTGACACTGCCGTATCTGGGATGTGGAATAGTACCTGGGAGCTGGAGGGATGCCGTAGATGTGGAGCAAGACGCAGCAGCAGAAGAGGACTCAGTCGAGGAGGTTATGGAAGAGGATGGAGTAGAAGGAGTAGAGGAGGTTGCAGCAGGCCTGCCTGCAAGTCGTGGCAGTGTCACCAACTCCTCTGCAGAGCAACGCATTCCATGCTTGGCAGCTGTCAGCAGGTTTACCCAATGCGCAGTGTAGGTGATATACCTGCCCTGACCATGCTCTGCAGACCAGGTATCAGTGGTCAGATGGACCCTTGCCCCAACACTGTGTGCCAGGCATGCCATTACTTCCTTTTGCACAATCGAGTACAGGTTGGGGATTGCCTTTTGTGCAAAGAAATTTCGGCCGGGTACCTTCCATTGCGGTGTCCCAATAGCTACAAATTTTTTGAACGCCTCAGACCCCACCAGCTTGTATGGTAAAAGCTGGCGGGCTAAGAGTTCAATCAAGCCAGCTGCCAGACGCCGGGCAAGGGGGTGACTTTGTGACATTGGCTTCTTACGCTCAAACATGTCCTTGACAGACACCTGACTGTGGGCAGATGAGCAGGAACTGCTCAAGGCGAGAGACGGAGGGGCGGATGGTTGAGAGGGGGCAAGGAGGACAGCAGTGATTAACCTGGCTGAAGATGCTGGACCAGGAGGAGGATGGCGGCTTTGAGTTTGTGTGCTGCTTGTACTCATGTGTTGATCCCATAGGCATTTGTGATGTGCGATCATTTGCCTTCGCAAAGCAGTTGTACCTAGGTGGGTGTTGGACTTCCCACGACTCACTTTCTTTTGGCACAGGTTGCAAATGGCATCGCTATTGTCACAGGCAGACACACACAAAAAAATGCCACACTGCTGAGCTCTGCAATGATGGCATTCTGGTGGTGGCAACAGCATGCGTTGATTGGCGTGCTGTGTGGCTGACCCCGGGTGCCGATGCATGCTGTCTGACTGTGCCACTAGCTCCTTGCGATGACCTCCCCTGCTTCCAACTCGTCTCCTCCTCCTCCTCTCTGTCTCCCCATCTGAACTTTCCCCCTGTTCTTCTTCTCTTCTAGCGGGCACCCACGTGACATCCACGGACGCATCGTTATCATCAACCGCTTCACTTGTATCTGACAACTCAGCAAAGGAAGCAGCAGCGGGTACAACATCATCATCATCACACCGTACTTCCATGTGTGTAATGCTGCCTGACTGATACATATCCCTGTTATCTACATCCTCTGGCAATAATGGTTGCGCATCACTCATTTCTTCCAACTGATGTGTAAATAACTCCTCTGACATACCAAGTGAAGCTGCTGTGGTGCTAGTGTTGGTGGTGGTGGCGGCAGGCGGGCGAGTGGTAACTTGAGAGGTGCCCGAAGCTAAGCTGGAGGAGGATGGTGCGTCAAGGTTCCGAGCGGAAGCTGTAGAAGATTGGGTGTCCTGTGTTAGCCAGTCAACTATGTCCTCAGAACTTTTCGAGTTCAGGGTACGTGGCCTCTGAACACTGGGCATTATTCTAGGGCCAAAGGGAATCACAGCACCATGACCACGACGGCCCCTGCGGGTTGGCTTGCCTCTGCCTGTCATTTTCTTTTCGATTAGTGGTACTATGCGTGGAAGCTACTGTAACAACAGATATGAGTGGCACTGTGCAGTGGCAGAAGTTGGCAGAGTAGACGCTGTAGGCCTGACACACACGCTTGCAGACAACTGCTATTCAATCACTTCAAACACTATTACAGTCAAAAAAATTTTTATTTTTTTTTAAATCTACACTACTGTTACACCAGATATAAGTTGCACTGGTGTGACAGTGTGCCCTGGCAGGCCCTGAAACGCACACGTGTGAAGGAAACTGACTGCTATTATATTACAGTCCAAAAAGTTTTTTTTTTGTTAAATGCAAGCTATTGTGACACCAGTGAGTGAGTGGTGGCACTGGGCAGGCCCTGAAACGCACACTCGTGAAGGAAACTGACTGCTATTATATTACAGTCCAAAAAGTTTTTTTTTTTTTAAATGCAAGCTATTGGACACCAGTGAGTGAGTGGTGGCACTGGGCAGGCCCTGAAACGCACACTCATGAAGGAAACTGACTGCTATTATATTACAGTCCAAAAAGTTTTTGTTTTTTTTAAATGCAAGCTATTGTGACACCAGTGAGTGAGTGGTGGCACTGGGCAGGCCCTGAAACGCACACTCATGAAGGAAACTGACTGCTATTATATTACAGTCCAAAAAGTTTTGTTTTTTTTAAATGCAAGCTATTGGGACACCAGTGAGTGAGTGGTGGCACTGGGCAAGTGGGCACAGTATATGCTGTGAGCCTGACACACAGGCTGGCAGGCAGGCAACTGCAACTACATTACACAGAAAAAAAAAGCAGACTGATGTTCTAGCCCTAAAAAGGGCTTTTTTGGGGTGATGTGCTTACAGCAGAGATCAGATGAGTCCTTCAGGACTGTAGTGGACACTGAATACACTAGCCTAGCTATCAATTTCCCTATCAAATCAGCAGCAGCTACACTGTCCCTCCTCTCACTAAGAATGCAGCTTCACAATGAATGTAAAATGGATGCTGTCCAGAAGGTGGGAGGTTCTGGGAGGGAGGGTCTGCTGCTGATTGCCTGGAATGTGTCTGCTGACTGTGAGGTACAGGGTCAAAGTTTACTCAATGATGACGAATAGGGGGCGGACCGAACAGCGCATATGTTCGCCATCCGTGGCGAACGCGAACAAGTGATGTTCGCTGGGAACTATTCGCCAGCAAACAGTTCGGGACATCACTAATGACATGCTGTTAAATGACCCTAACATAGCCTCCAAAGTACAAGAATCACTTAGAGACTACTCTAAACAGAGACATGGGAAGCACAAAAATATGTCATAAGAGGGGTCCTAATAGGTCTGGCCTCCAAAGCCAAA